AGGAAATAGAAAGCCCAAACTTCCAAAGTGCATTACTGCACCACAGCAAGGCAAGATGTTCCAGCTTCTCTTGCCCTTGCTTGTAAAGAAGCACCTGCCTGTGCAAGCCTAAGCACGATATGAATTAGCTTATTTGATTTTAGAGTGTGGAATACTGGAGAAAGAAGCAATGAAAGTGGCTTGTTTTTCCCTGTCCTGTCCAACCTTTTTATTCTTGGGGGACAAAGAACATATATGATGCATACCCAGGCTTCTTTAACAACTTGCCCTACAGCGAAGTGCTGGGTTTCTTTAGGTCCCATTTGTGAGCACCAGAAAGAGAGAAATGAGCATAACAAAGAAGGTGAGCCCAAGGAGGGTGCTGAGCAGGGCTTCTGATCATAGATTCCATCTTCCTTTTAGGCAGAACACTTTTTCCTACTCTAGTGCTCTGTAGTTAATCTTCATACAAAATGATCTACACTTAGTATGGGTAACACTCTAGTGTTCAGCCAGTATTTTGTGGGTTAACTTGATTTTTACTGGTAGGTTTGCCATTTAATCTTCTGGTTAAATACCATAGGATGCTGGATGCGATGGGGAGGAGCCTTTGGTAGTTGCTTGACACCTCTGTATGAAAACGGTCACTTCTCTCACTAAGTTGTGTCAAAGTGCAGGCCACTTGTCTAGAAGAAAGAAGCTCGAGACTTTGATGCTATACAGTTTAAGAGCGAATCACACTTTCATAGGAAGATCTGACTGGAAAAAAAAGACTAAAAAATATTAAGCCAGAGCCCTCTGGGAATCTGGTGCCTTTAACAAGAACTGTCATTTTGTAAAATGTTACATCTAGAGCATAGCCCATATGTTTTCTATTGGTTTTTTGTACAGTTGTAAATTCCAAATATTCTGTCTTTGGGTACGTATTTTCAGTGTAATACAGTATGTATAATAAAAATTTAGATTTTCTAAGGAAATGGACTGATACTATTTTTTACTAATCAAGTTGTGTATTGTACTAACGGTTACATTGGTGATGAGTAACACCGGCCTGAGACCAAACAGCCAAATTGCAGGATAATGCGTATCCATTTTAGATTTATGTCACGTTGCTTCTGTAGATGCATTCCAAAGTTGACATGTGCTAGTTTTGCTGGTTAGGATATTTGTAAGTAGGAGGTGTTACCAAAATACCTGCTCTTGATTTTTGGGCAGATTGGCTGACAGCTGATTAACCTCGTGCAATGTGACTTCACTGTGTCTGGGTGTGTGTATACCGAAGCGCTCGAGCTGCGGCCTAGACCCAATGGTTCAAGGGAGGTATGCCATGCACAGGTTCTCTGGACGGCCCAAGTGGTATGGAATTGTGGAATAAACCCCTTTTTTTTTTTTTTTTTTTTTTTTTTTAAATGCCTTCTTTAGCTGAATTACAGCAATGGTGGCTTCTCTCAATTTTAGAGTGCTGTGGAAGGTGGGTGTGTTTTGGGTTGGGGTTTTTTCAGAAACTGTTTTCATGCTCAGAGATACCGTTCCTGTGGTCTAGTTTATCCTGTGGTAAACATGAAGCCTTATCTTACAGTGTTGAGTGATATGGCTGTGTGTGGCCGGCCGGCCTCATTCCAATTTTGTTACGTCCAGCTGTGTGACATGGCTGTGTTACACTTGCCTGGGCTGGTGCAGTGCCAGACATAGTCTGAGGTTTTTCTTTTCAGTGTTGGGATCGACCTTATCAAATAACTGGGAAGGGAATTCTGTTCCAGGTCAACTGCTCCGGTAGAGTGCTTGGGACAAAGCTTTGAGAATAGGTTGAGATGCACATTTTATTTCGTAGGGCGCTTGCTCTGTCAGATTTCCTGGTGCCCAAATGAGGGACTCGCTGATAATTTTGTACAAATAATCACAGAATGGCAGGGGGTGGAAGGGGCCCTGGGACATCATCCAGTCCAACCCTCCTGCTAAAGCAGGGTCACCCAGAGCAGGTGGCACGGGACATCATCCAGGCGGGCTTTGAGTATCTCCAGAGCCCCCCTGGGCAGCCTGTGCCAGGGCTCTGTCACCCTCAAAGAAGTTCTTTCTCGTATTCAACTGAAACCTCTTCTGCTTCAGTTTGTGTCCATTGCCCCTTGTCCTGTTGCTGGGCATCACTGCGAAGAGTCTGGCTCCATCCTCATGACATTCACCTTTGAGATATTTGTACGTGTTGATGAGGTCCCCTCTCAGTCTTCTCTTCTTCAGGCTGAACAAGCCCAGCTCTCTCAGCCTTTCCTCACAGGGGAGATGCTCCAGTCCCCTAATCATCCTTGTTGCTCTCCTTCGAACTCTCTCTAGGAGTTCCTCATCTTTATTGAACCAGGGAGCCCAGAACTGGACACAGTACTCCAGGTGGGGTCTCACCAGGGCAGAGCAGAGGGGAAGGAGGACCTCCCTTGCTCTGCTGGCCACAGTCCTCTTAATGCACCCCAGGATATCATTGACCTTCTTGGCAACAAGGGCACCCTGCTGCCTCATGGTCAGCTTGCCGTCCAAAATCCACCAGTAAGTATGTGCTAGTTTGCCTGTCTTCTGAGAATGGCCTATGCAGAATCAGACCCTCTGATTTTTAGCAATATCTCAGACATTTTGGACAGGCTTAGCTGGTACAAGACTGTAGGGTTTTTTAATGTTTAGGAAGCTGCTGTAATACTAATTCTCATGACTGATGATTGACCAAGCGTTGACCTCTTTTAGACAGAACCTAAACCATCTCTGACTTTGAACACCCAAGGCACCTTACCTTGAGATTCTTTGAGCTATGTATTGACAAATGCATCTCCCCTTCTACAGAGTCCTTTGTTGTGGATCATGGTTTGAATCCAGTGGACCTGGAGCACTGTGGGAAGGCCCCATCCTTTTATACAGGCTGGTTTTTCGTGGAGGAGGCAGGTTGTAGGCATGCCCTGGCAGTTGCTGCTAGAAAACCCGGCACCTTCAGCCTGGATGTTCAGGGGTTTAAATTCCCACAGGGCCTACAAGAATATGGGCAATGTGTTAGAGAGTCTCCAGTTGCTGATGAGTGACCTTCCTGACTTGGTAACGCTCGTAGTGTCTCAGCTGTGTCTGATCCTAGAGAGCTGCATTTTGGATAACCATACTTGCTCCCTTCTAACTTTATTTCATTAAATCATGCTTTTCTTCTGTGTATGCTGCTCCAAGGCAATCTGTGTCATCTTTCTCTGCCTGGAGCACTGGATGGGCGTGACCTGCATATTTAACGCTGGCCACACCCAAGCCACACTGGGCCATTTTGGAGTTCTTCACATTTTTAAGACCCTCTTTTTAACTGATGGGGACTAATTAAGTTTTAAATGTTCAGTGCTGGTGGGGAGAGAACTTCTGGACTTGGTTCACTGATTACATGCATTTGGTTGGACAAACCATCAGACCTCTGCTTGCAGCGCCACACCTTCCTTTGGCTAGCTCTACTTTTTTATTATTATTCCTTTTAAATCCAAGCCCAGAAGAAACACGCTTTCAGAGTTTTGAGTTACTTGTTTCAAAGTAACTCAAATGACTCTTTTTTTTTTTTTTTTTTTTTTTTTTTAAATGACTTAAATTCCTTCAGCTCCCTTTTGTGGGTGTTTTTATTCCTTGTACACAGCACCAATGATGGAGGCTTCTGCTGGTGCAGTCTGAGACAAGCAATGCTACTTTTTTGGTTAAGAGGGTTTTTAGTCGACTCCGAAGCGTAGTGATGTGTCCTCGCTCCCCAAAGCTGTGGTGCCACCATGTGGCCATTTGGTCAGGTACAGGTCTTAATGTCTGTTCAGAGCAGAGAAACGTGCATTCCCTCAGGAGCGCTGACGGCTTTGCCTTGCTTTTTTCTGTCTTACGGGTGTCTCGGCCCTCCTCTTGGGTGCAAAGCTGGTTTCGGTATCAGTCCTGAACAGCGCGCTATGGCAGGACTTCTCTCCTTACCTGAAATGAAGGGAACTCCTGGTGGCCTCCTTCCTGCTCATCAAGTTCAAGATCTGCTTAGAACTGTTGAGGAATCCAGTCCTGATTCTGTACCAATGGTCCTCCCGATTGGGAAGCCTGATCACTGCATGTGCTCGTAATGGTTTTGCAGGAAAGCTACTGAAGGCCTTCAGAGGATCGGCTGAATTTACGCTGCTGACTTGCAGGCTGTTGACTGGTGGCTGACCTGTGTTCCTAAGCTCTGAGCTCCTGTGCTGTTTTATGAGAGTTAGGTTATGTACCAGGGACTTGGAAGAACCTTGCATTGGAAAGGAGGTTCTGGATTCCTAATTGCTACCCAGCCCATGGGGTAGTGCGTGCCATGGGGGTCAAGAATGCTTCTGTCCTTTTTCATCTGTGACGGAGGAAGTGGTACCTGCTGGCCGGTACCTCCTCCTTACATGGCCAGGCTGTGGTATGACACGCGAGCCGCACTGCGTGAGGAAGAAGTTGTTTTCCAAGAAAAGCACCGGTCAGAAGCCAGCTTGCAGTTTGTCTGAGTATCTTGCTCTTTCCCAGGCAGTAAATGCAGCCCAGCGCCCCAGCGCCAGCTCAGCAATAGGGTGCAAATCGGGAATGTGCCGCCAAAGGACCATAGTCTTCTCAAACGGCTGGATGCAGTGCACCAAGGACCATTATTTCCCCCAGCATTGTGAGGAAAAAGATATTTTTGCAGTAGCTTGCTTAGCTTGGAGTGTGACAGTCACTTGGAGCTGGATCAAGCGTCTGTTAAGCGTAGGACCCCGGCAGTGGCAGTGGAGTGGTGGGTAATGACAGGAAGCGCCTAAGGATACAAGAATAAAGTGATCTTTCTGCTCTCATCTGCTGGCAGTTAATAGGGACTTCGTGACCTTAGCGGTTCACCTGGTGACCGTTACCATTTTCAGGCTGATGTCTGCCCACTCTCAACTCATGCAGTCCTCTCCTTTTCACCATCCTTGCTGTAGGTGGGACCTCACCTGGAGATTTTCACTCCCCCCAGCACTTACTGTTGCATCCCGGTTAACAAAAGCTGGGGTGGTGGCAGCTCAAGCTTGACACTCTGAAGAGGGCTGGCGTTTGTTCCTTCTCAGGGTTTCTTATTAAATAAGCAGCTCTTCTTGTGAGCAGGTCACTTGGATATCCAACACCCAGGTGACAGCCAACTGATGCACAGTCCTGGGCTGGTCCTCAGGTTTGTAATGCCTGGGTAGCTCAGAAATCTGAGTCTGCCCTCAGCAGATGAAACCTCTGATGGCGCTTCCTCTGCTTGCCCAGCTCGCATGGAGGCGTGGATCCAAGCAGCCGTCCCCTCCAGGCTAGGCAACATGGGAGAGTCGATGCAAACTGCTGTGTTTAAGGAGGACACCACGTTCTTGGGAGAAACATCCCCACTACCGCCTCTGCCCTGTAAGGAGCCAGCCAAGTTTTGAGAGCCCCCAGGGTGGAGGGCAGCGTCTGGTTTGTTTAGGGACGCAAGGTTCACTGCCCATGGAGGAGCAACCAAACTGACAAGGAGAGGGCCCTGTGCCAGCCTAGGACATTGCTTTTGATCGGCCATGACACTGTTTTTTATTCACTGTGAACCAACTAGCAAAAGCACTTAATCTCAACAGAGATGATCCAGGGCAGGTCAGGAGTTTGTAAATTAACCTATTTGCACTTCTCTGCCCCGAAGTGGCATCAGACTTCTCCTGTCAGAAGAGTAATTCCAACTTGCCCAGTTGCTAAAGCAATTGAGAGGAAAGCAGCCTGCCTCGCCTCCCAGCGGGCTCCGGTAGCTCATCCAAGGCAGTGGTTTGAGGGCATGGGAAGGGGGTTAAGATGCATTTCCCTTTCTCTCCCATGTGCCAGGCTGAAACTGGCAAGTCAAAGTACTGTCGCAGCGGCGAGTGTCAACATCCATTTCTTAAGTCCCTTTCCAGTGTGTGCACACGTACGTGTGTGCCGGAGCTGCTCAGGAAATGTGAGACTTGCTCCTGGGACCGGTGTAGGGAAGGCTCTCCACAAACGAGGGGTGCAGTTCATGGTACAGAGGGGACAGAGCTGATGTCAGCTCCTCTAACAGAATAAATCTCCCTGGGCAGCTGCTGGCAGCATTTTATCAGTGCACGGGCCTGCTTCATCCTGCAGTGATGCTTACGCAGAAGTTGTCGGCCACCGCAGGTCCTCTGCCCGCTGCCAAATGCACAGCTCCATGCAAGTGGGGGTGGACCAGGTCGTTGTGTTATTTATACCAACTGAGATCAAACATCCTGCACAGAGACTTGTAAAGCCTATAAAGCTGAGGTGAGGAATGCCACGTTGAGAGCTTGCCTGCCCACCAGGAAAGGACAGCCCTCCATCGCTGCCTTGCCCTGAGCAGCATCTCTGCACGGGGCTGCGTGCTGGGCCTGGGGCTGTGTCCTTAAGTCTGATATTTTGCTTGCTAGCAGTAAGCAGTTCAGGTTAAGGTTGTATTTGGCAGTGGGAAGCCAGCTGGCTGCTGACTGACCTATGCCCACCTAAACGGGAGATACCAGAGTCGAGGAGGCTGCCCTGTCTCCCTGCAGCTACCATGAGGCATGTTAGCGTTAGCAGACTGTTGCTGCTGGAGGCAGGAGGACACGAGAGCGTCCCTGGCACAGCTGGGGGTACCAGCAAAGGTCCTTGGGCAGGGACTGGCAGAGCTGGGATACCAGTGAAGGTCCTTGGGCAGGGACTGGCAGAGCTAGGGAACCAGCGAAGGTCCTTGGGCAGGGACTGGCAGAGCTGGGGAACCAGCGAAGGTCCTTGGGCAGGGATGGGCAGAGCTGGGGTACCAGCGAAGGTCCTTGGGCAGGGACTGGCAGAGCTGGGATACCAGTGAAGGTCCTTGGGCAGGGACTGGCAGAGCTAGGGAACCAGCGAAGGTCCTTGGGCAGGGACTGGCAGAGCTGGGGAACCAGTGAAGGTCCTTGGGCAGGGACTGGCAGAGCTGGGATACCAGCGAAGGTCCTTGGGCAGGGATGGGCAGAGCTGGGGTACCAGCGAAGGTCCTTGGGCAGGGACTGGCAGAGCTGGGATACCAGCGAAGGTCCTTGGGCAGGGATGGGCAGAGCTGGGGTACCAGCGAAGGTCCTTGGGCAGGGACTGGCAATGCTCGCACCTCCCATAGCAGGACCTGTGCCTCTCTGCGGCTCGTGCAGGAAGCGCTGCTGGGCTGCGCAGTCAGGGATTGCATGAGAAACCTCCCCTTGTGCAACCTCGGTGGCCGTGCAGCGAGGGGGAGCAACCACTTGTGCAGCGCGGTGCTGTTGGGGCACTATGTGCGATGCCAAACGGATCCTACCTGGGCCACTGAGGAAAAGCCTGAGGGCTTGGGCTCGAGCACGCTACCTGTTGGCTCACTGTGTCGAGCCCTGTGGAGGATCCTGGAGCACAAAAGATGGGGGCAGCACATGACAGTGCCCGATCTGCCCGCTGAGCGTGTGGCTGGGGAGGCTCTGCATGCGGAGCATCCTTAATCCTACACAAGCAGCCAGCTGTTCCCAAAATTTGGGGGAAGATGTGACATAGGTGAGATGTGGCATTCAGCTGTCTGCAGAAGGAAATCCTCTATCGTAGTGGAGGCTCGGCCATGCGGATTATTAACTGATGGGGGCAGAGGGAAATGGGGAGGATCTTTTAAAGCAGGGCTGCAAGGTGAGAAAACCACAGGGACATCTGTGTCCTTGGGCAGCATGGGCCCAGGCAGGAGGGCATTGCCTCAGGGCATGAACAGCAAGCAGGATAGCCACCGGCTAACACGTGGAAAACTGGATGGGGCCTTGCTAAACTTAATGCTCTCACCTCAAAAGCATCATCATCAGGATTGTTGAGTTTGATCCTGATCACAACAACTCAAGGTATCAAGTTGGACACCTTGGGGGCAATGAGAAGGGGAATTAAACGCTGACTGGGAAATCTCTGCACTCACCAGAGGGTGAATTTTGGTTACGGTGTGATTGGTCTTGGTTAAAATGGGAGTTGCTTTAACTGTGGACACTTCTGGGATTATTTTTCTTCTTGTTTTTCTTCTTGCAGGAAATCCTGGGTGTCTAGAAAATGAAATCCTTTCACTTGACGAGGTCACGGGGGGCTGGCCAGCAGCCAGGCACAGGGCCCCTGCGCGGCTCTGCCCATTCCTCTCTACGAGCCCATCGCTTCCTCCGGGACACTTCTCTTGCACGCCGCGAGAAGAGGCTTAGATTTGCTCCTCTGCTCAGTATTTAGTTTGCACTACGCTTTGAGAAGGCCAGTAACGTCTTAAGACCTGTTGCAGTCTCTGAATATAAAACCCCCCTTTGTTGGGGCGGGGGTGGGAGGTTGACTTGACTGAGCCGCATGATCGGAGTCAGGTGACAATATTGGGCACAAAACCGGAGGAGAACGAACAGTTGGGTGTAGGAGATTAGCTGCTGATCTTGCCTTTTGACAAGCTGTGTTACTCCCCAGGGGAAAAATGAGTGCCTGGCCCTCTCCTCTGCTTTGGAGCTTAACCACGGTGTGTTTAACAGGTAAGTCCCCCTGAAGCGGTGTTTCTCTTCGCCCGAGCTCGGAGGTGGGCAAAGCCGTAGCAGGCTTGTGGAAGCACCGGGCTTTGCCGAGCCGGGGTGCTGCCGAAGGGCAGGGCGAGGTGGGGGGAAGGCAGGAAAGGAAGGAAGTGTTGAAAGACAGGCAGTGTTGGAAGCAGGCTGAATACGGTAAATATTAAAAATTGCTTTTATATGAAAAAAAAAAAAAGGAGGAAAAATAGAGCCCTCTTACTCTGCTTACTCTTGAGGATTTTCAGTGGCCTCTTCATGGCTTTATCTTAAACCGCAAGGAACAGGATGCCCCAGTGCGTTCACTTTCTGGGGGTGTTTGGGCATCTGGGTCTTTGTAAGAGAAAGAGCACATATAAAAATGCCTGAATGTTTTTATAATCATGCCTCTATCCGCTCTTCTCCTTGTTCCTCTCATCCTTCTGTACCGCTTACCTATGAAAAAAAAAAAATCTGCATTCTTATAGTTAATATTTTTGCTATGTGGGATCTGCAAATCTTGCTGCACTCCAGGCCATGTACCTTCCAGGGCGAGTCTGGCCTCATGCAACTGGAAGCTCCTTGGGGTGAGGTGCTGCCCTGCTCCCTTCTCACTGCAGGCCACCTGCATCTGGGGGGCCGGGGGCTGCTGGGGGCCCTGCGGCCACCTTCATTTTTGGAGTATGAACCCATCAGCCCTGTTAGAACAATTTGTGCTTTACAGAGTTCCTTGGCAAGGGGCAAAAGTGCTCCAAGCAATCACCTGGTGAGCTTCATCTTAGCAGTGTGCACCCAGGGCAGCCTGAGCACGTAACAAGGTACGAACTGCAGCCGGGCGCTCTCCTGACATTGAACTATTTGGGGAAACTCTCCCATTTCAGGAGCCAACCTGTTGATTTGGGAACCAATTATTCACCTGTTGAATTCACCACAGACTATTTTTATCTTCACCTGGATCTGTAACTGTTGACTCGGTTGTGTTTTGTTTGGCTCGAAGGATTAGGTTTTCAGAATGGCAGGCTGTACAGCTGTGCAAGACGGAGAGAATTAAAAATAAGGGAGTGTCTGTCCTATTTCTTCATTTTTGCGAGTTCCCAGCCAGTGTCCCTGTGCCCCGCAGGTCGGCAGGGCTGCCTGCCTTGCGAGTCGGGAAGGATTAGTTCTGGAGTTAGGAGTTCAGTAACCTTCCCTGACATCCTCAAGGCTCTTGGCGTGGAACATCGTGCTGAGGCGTCTCACAAAATGGCCTGTCCTTGGAGGGTCCCTGGAGATACACAGCGCCCCTGAGAAGAAAAGTCTCTCGAAAGCAGAATGACTGCTCTCTGGTGTAGGCAGCGTCTAAGTGCAGGAGAGAAAATGGTCTGATGAAGCTATGGTTGTTTGAGTATTTTTTTCACGCCTGTAATACTGTAACTGGCAAACCAACACATCACCCATTTTTACTCGATGCTCAAAACCATTTTTCCCAGCCTGCCTACTTCTTTTTTTCTCCAGAAGTTGTTTAAATGAATTTATGGAGTACTGGCTACTGAAGGCTATCGATGGCTACCGAAGTTTTGCAAGCGACTCTTCAACGGCTATTTTAGTCGCATGTTATGAAAAGAACTTTTCCATTAAAAAAAAAACCAAAACACCGTCTTAACAGTACCACCATTCAACACCAGAACCAACCAACCCACGAAAGCTTACAAAGAGGCAATATTCAGCTAAAAACATATTGTTTGAAAACAAAACCAACCCCAGACTTCATCCAGCTGTGTGCAGTCCAAGGTGTTTAAAGCCCCTGCAGTGTCTCTGCCTGGCAGAGCCGAGCAAATGTGGGAGATCGGACTTTGATGCCCGTGGTCCTTCTGGGCGCTTTCCCTAGGAGAACTTGACGGTGCCCTTGACTTACTGCTAGTGTTTACTTTGAGATCAGCTTAATAAAACTCCGAACCAACTCAGCTCCATGCCAGACATGAGGGAGGAGAAGCAGACTGACTTTAGCCCTTAGGGCAGGTGACTCAGACGAGGGGACTTGTGTCCTCGGTCCTGGGTGGAGGCATGGCCATGGTAGCAGTGTCCTCTGTGGGTACCCCAGAGCTGCTCTCCCTGCCGGGGACCTACGCTGGCACCTCCGGGTCCCTTGGATTTGGGCTGTGGGCAAACAACTATGCCACAAGAGGATGACTGTTAAATGCAGCGTCTCTGTTTTGGGGGCTACAGTAAGAAAATGTGGGCAGTGACCCAGATGGGTGGGGTGCCCATCTGCTGCTTTGCTCAGTAGCTACAGAAAGATGGGGTCCTTGCGCTCAGTGGAGTACAAAGCAGGCAGTATGCAACAGGAGGGAGCGCTCCCAAAGAGCTCCGTCCATGTGATCGCAACTTTGTAAGGACTCTTTTATTTGGTGTCCTCATCTTGCTGTAGAAATTTAACCAGAGTTATTAGACAACTTGGTCTGCATGTTGTTGTTGTTGTTCATATCACAGTGGTGCTAAGCCCTGATACCCACGGTGCCCAGCCTCACGTGGTGTAGCCCAAACTGAGAGAGAAATTAAAGGCTGGGGGAGAAGCAGGCTTGGGAAAAAGCCTGCAGAGACCCATGGGGCTGCAGCCACCCTGTGCCAGTGCTGTCACCGCTCGGAGGCTTGGCACCTCCGAGCCTTCAGCTTTTAATGAATTAATGGAGTACTGGCTACTGAAGGCTATCGATGGCTACCGAAGTTTTGCAAGCGACTCTTCAACGGCTATTTTAGTCGCATGTTATGAAAAGAACTTTTCCATTAAAAAAAAAACCAAAACACCGTCTTAACAGTACCACCATTCAACACCAGAACCAACCAACCCACGAAAGCTTACAAAGAGGCAATATTCAGCTAAAAACATATTGTTTGAAAACAAAACCAACCCCAGACTTCATCCAGCTGTGTGCAGTCCAAGGTGTTTAAAGCCCCTGCAGTGTCTCTGCCTGGCAGAGCCGAGCAAATGTGGGAGATCGGACTTTGATGCCCGTGGTCCTTCTGGGCGCTTTCCCTAGGAGAACTTGACGGTGCCCTTGACTTACTGCTAGTGTTTACTTTGAGATCAGCTTAATAAAACTCCGAACCAACTCAGCTCCATGCCAGACATGAGGGAGGAGAAGCAGACTGACTTTAGCCCTTAGGGCAGGTGACTCAGACGAGGGGACTTGTGTCCTCGGTCCTGGGTGGAGGCATGGCCATGGTAGCAGTGTCCTCTGTGGGTACCCCAGAGCTGCTCTCCCTGCCGGGGACCTACGCTGGCACCTCCGGGTCCCTTGGATTTGGGCTGTGGGCAAACAACTATGCCACAAGAGGATGACTGTTAAATGCAGCGTCTCTGTTTTGGGGGCTACAGTAAGAAAATGTGGGCAGTGACCCAGATGGGTGGGGTGCCCATCTGCTGCTTTGCTCAGTAGCTACAGAAAGATGGGGTCCTTGCGCTCAGTGGAGTACAAAGCAGGCAGTATGCAACAGGAGGGAGCGCTCCCAACGAGCTCCGTCCATGTGATCGCAACTTTGTAAGGACTCTTTTATTTGGTGTCCTCATCTTGCTGTAGAAATTTAACCAGAGTTATTAGACAACTTGGTCTGCATGTTGTTGTTGTTGTTCATATCACAGTGGTGCTAAGCCCTGATACCCACGGTGCCCAGCCTCACGTGGTGTAGCCCAAACTGAGAGAGAAATTAAAGGCTGGGGGAGAAGCAGGCTTGGGAAAAAGCCTGCAGAGACCCATGGGGCTGCAGCCACCCTGTGCCAGTGCTGTCACCGCTCGGAGGCTTGGCACCTCCGAGCCTCCAGCCTCTCATCCTGCTCGTGTCCTTCCTTGCCTGCATCTTGCCTCACTTTGGGGGTGACAGAGCCCTGGCACAGGCTGCCCAGGGGGGTGCGGAGTCTCCTTCTCTGAAGATACTCAAACCCCGCCCTGACGATGTCCTTGGCACCCTGCTCTGGGTGACCCTGCTTTAGCAGGAGGGTTGGACTGGATGATGTCCCAAGCTCCCTTCCAACCCCTGCCATTCTGTGATTCTGTTCCTTCTGTTCCTTGCCGTTGGGTGTCAGCTGCGCTCCTTGGGCTCCTTGAAACCCATGAAGCAATTTCTTAAAATAGTACTTTTATTTTCCCTGCCAATGCCCACTTGATATCAGCAGCCCCTCTTGCTGTGGTGGCTTAGCAGATGTGTGCTGGTTGTGAGCACCACGTTACCAGCCACAGTCGCATCCTGATGCTGTATGAAGTTGGATATGTTCAGAAGCTGCAGTTATTTTAGAATAACCCCTTGCCCTGAGTTCCTGACCCCAGCTGATGAGACATTTGCGGTGCCAGGAGCTGGCTATTTTGTTTTTGCTTTGCTTCCTTTGCTTAGCACCACACCGCTCGCTTAAAAGCAACTTGTTGCTTTTTGTGTTTAGTTTTATGGGTCTCCCCTCCCTTCGGAGACTGGAAGGTGTCCCTCGTGGTTGTGTGCCGAGAGGTGGCTTTCGCCAGCAGACAGCATTTCAGTCCGCAGCGTATCACAGCAAAACAACTTGAACTGCAGTAATACCCCTTTTCTCTGAAGATTACAGCTGTCCCTGCTCTGACAGGGGGATTTCAGAATCAAAGCAAGTCTTGGCCTGCGGGTTCCCTTCTGGTTACTGGATGTATCCCCAGAACAGCTTTACGAAAAAAAAAAAAAAAAAAAGAAAAATCCGAAACCCATGATTTTTTTTTTATTTTTTTTTTCTGATCCCTTTAACGGAGATGGAATAAACCAGCCAGCTACTTGACAAGCATCTTAAATCAGATTGTCGTGGGATCTCAGGGTAAACTCTTTCAAGCTGCTGCTAACAAAATCGAGTGTTGCAGGCAATTCTCACACCCTTTTATCTAGGAGAGTCAGACCCCCCGGACATTGGCATCTACTGAGTTGAGGCCTCGTGGACCCTCTAATTTATTTCCTTGATAAGTCTCTCACGTGCCAGGGATGCTCAGATGCTGCCAATGCTGTTTGCCTCCTTGCTTCTGTATTGCTCTGTAGTGACTGGAGCAGAAGGGCATTTCTGGACGTCGAGCAAGGATACATGGGCTAAGCAGTTGGTAACGACCTAGTGGGAAGCCTCCATTAAAGGGAGGACAATAATTTGACCACTAATGATGTTTTTTCTTCTCTTAGGTATTGCTTTAGGCCAGACAACCACGAGCCAGGTCCCCATTGCATCAACACCAGTGCCTCCCAGTGCAACCACGAGCCAGGTCCCCATTGCATCAACACCAGCGCCTCCCAGTGCAACCACCAGCCAGGCCCCCCTTGCATCAACCCCAGCGCCTCCCAGTGCAACCACTTCCATGGCCTCTGCACCCTCAACTGCCTCTGCAACACTCTCATCTGGAGCAGCATCAACCACTGCAAACCTTGTCACGTCCACAGCAGCACTGTCTGCTGATCCAAGCAGAAAAACGCCTGCTCAGACTCTGCCTGCCACCACGGATGTGACCGTCCTCCCCTCTGGCAGCACAGCCACTTCTCAGGCATCTACCGGGCCAATGGCCACATCCACCAGCACCCCAGTGTCCGCTCCAGGCGTGACCACGTCTCCTGGGGTCCCATCAGCAGCTCCGTTCCTCGCCACCACCAAGCCCTCCAACTGCAGCAGAGTGAACGTGACAGCCTGTGCCCGCTGCTCCCCAGGGACGTTTCCCAACAAAGGTAGGAGCCCATGCTCGCCCCGGCTCTCATGTTAGGTGAAAAAGTGACTTTTCAAGGGAGATGAAAATGGCACACGTTCTTGTGTTGGAGGCTTGGGCAGGCAGCAGGAGTTGGGAGTTAATTTGTTGCACCTTTCTGAAGTTAAAAATTCTGGCCTCTGCTGGCCATTGCTGTTCCCGAAGCTTCCCCGGTAGGATGCAGAAGCAGTAGGGTTGTGGCTGTAACGCAAGTGCAGCCTGATCTATATATGGTGTTTTGAGGTATAGTGCCAAATATAAGGACAGCTTCCAACTACCAGTCTGGAATGTTTGAAAGAGAATCTCTGCTAAGAAGCAGCCTTTCCACTGGGCTTAAGAAACCAGACGGTCGTATCTGTCGTGGTCAGGAGTGCATAATATTACCTTTTGCAGAAGTAATTTATAGTGTAGTGTTTGGGGGGGTTTTTTGGTTTTGGGGTTTTTTTGTTGTTTTTTTTTTTTAAATACCACCACCTCACCCTGAAAAAAAATCCCAAATAAAAAAATCCCTAATATACAAGCCATGTACTTTTTGCTTACTTCCCTCACTGCAGGTCACTTTCAAAGAGCGGAATAAGCAGCTCTGATGCTTTAGGGTAAATCTGTGGAGGAGAGGAGGCAATTCCCACCACCCTTGGGTGCAGGATGTTCATCCATGGGATTTTCTCCTCTTGCCCAAGTGTGGTTGCTGCAGCACCAAGGACTGGTTCCTGCAAGCAGTGGGACGGCAGCTCTGACGGGCGCAGCTGCAGCAAAGCCCACTCGATCGCTCTGTGCAGCGTGGATTTGTTTTGTGGAGCAGAGAAGGGCTAGAGATGTGTCCATTGGGAATGCCGGGGGGCCTGAGCTCAAAGAAAAGCAGTTGCTGCTTAAGGCAGATTCTCTCCTCTGGGGTTTTACTCATCAGTTCTGCTTCCCACAAGCCTAAATTATCAGAAAACCAAAGGAGTATGGCGGGTTTTTGGGTGGGTTTTTTTTGTTTGTTTGTTTGTTTGTGTGTTGGTGGGGAAACAAGGAAAATCCTCCTGGCTGCTCAGATTAAAAGAGGAAAAACCATTCATCTTAATTACCAGAAATCCATGTTGACAGACTTGAGGCCTTAGATCTTCTTATGGCTGTTCTTCAGCTTGCTGCAACGTGCAGCACAGCATTAGCACTAATATTTCGGTTTCCTACCCCCGGGGCTGTCTTGCTGGAGGGCTTGCATCCCAACACTTCTCCATTCATTGCAGTGACCTGTCCTGACAAGCCAAGTGGTTTAAGCCAAGTCTCCTGGTCCTGATCCTGACCTTTTTGTTCTGGATTTAGGTACCCTGAGCTGCTCGTGCTGTGCGGGGGCCTCGTGCACAGACCCCAGCGCCTGCACCTCCTGCCCGCTGGGCCACTACCAGCCTGAAAGTGGGCAACCATCGTGTCTGCCTTGCCCACAGGGGCATTACGCCAAGTAAGTGACTGAGCCCCTGGCCATGGGGTGCTGGATGCTCTCCCTCAAAACACTTCCCAGCTGGCAAAATCTTCTCCTTTGGGCTACGGGAGAAGCGCTGCCAGGGTGGTTTCTCAGTGGGAAGCACAGGGTTTTGCATCCCCCAGAGAAAGAGGAGGTCAGGGCTCCCTGCCCCAGCACCCACCCATGGTGCAAACCAGCGGCAGCAGCAAGAGGCCGTCCGTTCGCTCCCCGGCTTCTTGCAGGGCTCTGTGGCAAACTGGGTCGTGGAGCTCATGAACTGCGAAACCAAAATAGCTGCGTGCCTTTTAAACTCACCTGCAAACAGTCTGGACCCTGGAGAGAGCCCCCGGCTGCCTTTGGGCTGTGCTTCAAACAAGGTCCCAGTGGGGCGAAGGGGGGCACCTCTGCAGCGCTGCTGCTGCGCTGCTGAACTGAAGCTGCCTGGTGGAAAAAGACCTGGGGGTACTGGTTGACAGCCGGCTGAATATGAGCCAGCAGCGTGCCCAGGTGGCCAAGAAGGCCACTGGCATCCTGGCTTGTATCAGGAATAGTGTGGCCAGCAGGAGCAGGGCAGTGATCGTCCCCCTGTGCTCGGTGCTGGTGAGGCTGCACCTTGAATCCCGTGTTCAGTTTTGGGCCCCTCACTGCAAGAAAGACGTTGCCTTGCTGGAACATGTCCAGAGGAGAGCAACCAAGCTGGTGAGGGGTCCGAAGCACAAGTCTTACGAGGAGCGGCTGAGGGAACTGGGGTTGTTCAGCCTGGAGCAGAGGAGGCTGAGGGGAGACCTGATCGCCCTCTACAGCTGCCTGACAGGAGG